CGAAGGGGTACGTGCACCCCAATGTTTATAGCAGCAATGTCCACAATAGCCAAACTGTGGAAAGAGCCAAGATGTCCATCAAGAGATGAACGGATAAAGAAGTGTGTGTGTACACACACACACACACACAATGGAATATTATGCAGCCATCAAAAGGAATGAGATCTTGCCATTTGCAACGACATGGATGGAACTGGAGGGTATAATGCTGAGCGAAATAAGTCAATCAGAGAAGGACATGTATCATATGACTTCACTGATATGAGGAATTCTTATTCTCCAGAAACAAAGTGAGGGTTGCTGGTGTGATGGGGGGTGGGAAGGATGGGGTGGCTGGGTGATAGACATTGGGGAGGGTATGTGCTATGGTGAGTGCTGTGAATTGTCTAAGACTGTTGAATCACAGACCTGTACCTCTGAAACAAATAATATATTCTATGTTAAAAAAAAAAGATAGGAAGGGAAAAATGAAGGGGGCGAAGTCAGAGGGGGAGACGAACCATGAGAGACTATGGACTCTGAGAAACAAACTGAGGGTTCTAGAGGGGAGGGGGTAGGGGAATGGGTTAGTCTGGTGATGGGTATTAAAGAAGGCACATACTGAATGGAGCACTGGGTGTTATATGCAAACAATGAATCATGGAACACTACATCAAAAACTAATGATGTAGGGCGCCTGGGTGGCTCAGTTGGTTAAGCGACTGCCTTCGGCTCAGGTCATGATCCTGGAGTCCCGGTATCGAGTCCCACATCGGGCTCCCTGCTCAGCGGGGAGTCTGCTTCTCCCTCTGACCCTCTTCCCTCTCGTGCTCTCTGGCTCTCATTCTCTCTCTCTCTCAAATAAATAAATAAAATCTTTAAAAAAAAAAAAAAACTAATGATGTAATGTATGGTGATTAACATAATTAAAAAAAATGAAATCTTGCCCTTTGCAACGACATGGATAGAACTAGAGAGTATTATGCTAAGCGCAATAAGTCAATCAGAGAAAGGTAAGTATCATATGAGCTCACTGATATGAGGAATTTGAGAAACAAGACAGAGGATCATAGGGGAAGGGAGGGAAAATGAAACAAGACGGAACCAGAGATGGAGACAAACCATAAGAGACTCTTAATCTCAGGAAACAAACTGAGGGTTGCTGGAGTGGAGGAGGGTGGGAGGGATGGGGTGGCTGGGTGATGGACATTGGGGAGGGTATGGGCTATGGTGAGCGCTGTGAATTGTGTAAGACTGATGAATCGCAGACCTGTACCTCTGAAACAAATAATACATTATATGTTAATAAAAAAATTTAAAGAAAAGATTCTCTCTGCTTTCCCCCCCCAAAATAAATAAATACATCTTTTTAAAAAATAAAATTTTAGTATTTTTAAATTGTGGAACAATAATGAATATAAGTAGAAAGACCAATGTATCAACTTTTTTAGCCAATGTTTTATTTTTCCTATTAAATTTTTTTAAAGTAAAATTTATATATTGTAAAATCCACAGATCTTGAACATACAATCCAATGGATTTTTAACAAAGGTATACCCCTGTGTATCAAACACCCAATCAAGAAGTAGAAAATTTCTATCACCACAGAGCTAATATATTGGTTATATTCTTTCTCTGCTATCATTGTAAGATCACTGAGATTAGTGCAAAATGCTTTTGCTTCCATAACTATTATTACAAATAACAGTGAAACCCCAATTATTAGAACCATTAAGGATGATAATCATGGTAGCAGATAAGTTAGTTGATCTCTAGGACTGTACTGAGAATCCTAGGCCCAAATTGTGAAAAGTACCTGAAATAGCTAGTATATGGAGTATTTTTATATAAGTTCCATAATAGTACTAGTAATCTATAATAATGTCTTAGGTAAGACATTCCAATGACCTAATTAACCAGTGTAAGGTTATAAAGAATTATCTCCCTTTAGTTGCCCTAATTTTTCTTTTGTTTCTGGTTATGCAAATATCTATAGTACCTGTGTTTTAAATATTTCACTGATAGCATAGGGTAGTACTTCATAATAATAATAGCAGATCCTTTCCATCATATTTCCATGCCGAAAGAACCCTTAGTTAGTACTTTCTAGACTGTTTATAATAGGTAAAAATCAATGCAATACAGGTACCTTTTTGGTAGAATATGCTTTAAACAAAGTGACAAAGCAAGCTACAATTTGTGAACAATATTGAAGGAGAATGTCACCTATATTTGAAATTATGAAGTGAACATTCATTTTTTTTAGACAGAAAAATCAATGCCCAAATTTTAGTTTTGCTAATATACAAGGTTTGACCGCTTTACAAAAAGTACAGTGGTATTTGGGCTGATCAGAGAGTCTTTTTTTAATAGTGGCATTAAATATCTCTAAGGCATCACTGAATATTATAAGCAGTTATAAATTATTATAGAATTATGACTTATTGATTTCTCTTTCTCTAATTTTATTCACATCCCGAATTCCTTCCCTTCTCTAGCCAAATCTAGTCTTCTCACTTTTTCTTCCTCTGTTTTCTAAAGGATCTGGTAGCTAGCACTTTTCATTGCTGAGTGGAAAGAAGGCCAGATTTTTCAATTAGTAGCTCAGTCTTCCCTGAAATCCCAATCTTAACTTTTCCTGGTTGTGGGTTAGATGGGTTCTAGGATCACTTTTAAGCATCTTCAGGGTTTTAAAGTTAGAGGACCTTGATAAAACTTTGAGGGGGAAAAAAAATCTTAGAGAAGTAAGATTATGCCTTTGCGTATCAGTAGTCGTATATAAAAATGTGTTACTTACTGAAGAACATTTAGTGGGATAGTAAGGGAAGGTAGATTTTCATTTTTCCCTCTTTGTATAGTATTTGTAGACAGACGTTTTTCCAACACAGATGACCAAAAAAAGAAAGCAGAAGAGAAGCCTCAGTATTTTTCCCCTTCTCTCCCCCCACTCTAAGAAGTTTCAGTATTTTAAGGTGAGGGGAAACACACACACACACACACACACACACACAGACTTATTTTATGAAAGCTAGAAAATGGTTTTCAAGGACAAATATATGATCTATAGTTGTAATGTTTAGATATTTGGCAATTGGAAAAAATAATTTTTGATAAAATAGGAAAACAGATTGACATAAATGTACATTAGTGTAGTGACTTTCATTTCTTGGACATACACAGTGAAATAGTTCTAAGCAATAAATTCTTGGAAAGGTAGGGTAGGATTGGATAAATGTCATAGTTTATGACTGAATACATATAAACAGGTGAAAACTCAAGATGGAGAGGTAATAATAACCACCTGATAAAGAGACTTAAAACCTTTTCACCCTACAAAAAAGATTGCCTTAGAGTTATAACTTGATATAGTTTGATTTTTAAAAAAGATATTGGTTACATTTGTGGCTACTATGGATATATGAAATAAAGAATTCTTTTTCCCCAATATGAAAAAGTATTTATCATTTAAAACCTTAACTGTAAAAAAAAAAAAAATTAATGCTTTAGATTCTGGAACTAATACGAAGATACTGAAAAAGGTGACACAGCCACTATTTCTGCCAGGGTATCTAGAAATAAAGAATCATTGACAATGGAGAATTATATAACTATTTCAAGTCAGCTACCAAACTAAAGTTTAATTCTACAATATAAGTAATAACATCATAAGCCTTCAGACCTTTTTTAATCCCCCAAATCCAGCCTGTGCCATCTGTAGCACCTCTAGATTTCAGGTTTTTCATACCTTTCATTTTTGCTTATCTAAACCTCACCCTTCCTCCTCACAAGAATCCTTCTGTAAAATTACTGCAGCCCACTTTGATTTTCCCTTTCCTCTCAATTTTTGTAGCACCCATACTACTGTTAAGACCTCTTCTCTGCTGTTTATAAGGCCAGAATAGTTTTTTCTCTTTCTTTGTACATATTAGTTAGCAAGTGCTGGGTGATCAGTAAGCATTACAGAAAACAGTTTAAAAGGAGTTCAGAAGAGCAAGCAATTAATTGTGTGATAATGGGTGTTTGGAGGAAGTGGATCATAAATGGGGACCTAAACCAAAGGAAGATTTGATCTGGGAAAGATAAGAAAGGACACTCCAGCCTAGGATCACAGAATGAGCTGAGGCCCAAATGTGTATAATCTAAGTGACTGGGACTACAGGTGTCATTTCATATTAGATGAATGAACTAATGAACAAGTGAATGAAATTCATAGTGGCTTGGCCAAGGTTACTGGACTGTTCCTTTTACATCATTCATTCATTACACATTTTTGAGTTCTAGGGCACAAAGATGAAGAAATACTTATTTTTAGGAATTCAGATTTTAATGGGGCAGACAGAAATGTGAAAAATTATTAAAATAATTTTTAATTTTATTGGAGGAGGTATGCCCAGGTGTGTAGGAACACAGAGGGGAGGATAGGAGGGTACCCTGTAGGATAGGCCGAATTCTCAAGGGCCTTAAATTTTAATGTTCAAATAACATTATTTGAATATGTTAATATTCAATTATGTTGTAATTGTTAAAAAAATAATGTTCAAACATTATTTTGGTTATTCTTAAGACAAGAAGTCAGTATGTCAGAGCAACTTTGTGAAGGTGTAAGAAAGCACTTAGCCCTCCTAGAATTTCCTTGTGGATTTTACTGTAAGAAACTTCTGAGTTTCCCTGGCCTAGCCCCATAATTATACTTCAGGTTCAGCAGACAGCAAAAGTCAGGATATAACTGGAAGAGTCAGCCATCTCTAAACTGTTTGGAAATACCATCTCAGAAGGCAGTAAACCTTTAATATTAAATTTTCACAAATATCAAATTGAGATGCCCTAATCAGTGTGGAGACCTGAAATATCTCTAAGACTTTAAGAATAGTGTTCATTTTGGAGGTGGTAATTGATGGTATTTAAATTCTGAAAAGAAAGAGCAAGGAAAATAATACTGGTTTGAATTTTACAAGTTTTAAAAGGCATTCTCAAAGAACCAAACATAAGTATTTTTGTCTCAAATTAATATTTATTTTCAGTCATTTGATTCTTCAAAAATCACAAGGAAGAAAAGTATTACAACTTATTCTCCAACAACTGGAACTTGTCAGATGAGCCCATTTGCTTCTCCTGCAAGCTCTAAAGAACAAGAGCACAAAAATGAACCATCAAATGGTTAGTTGAACATTCTTTTCCATTTATTGTAATATTTTTCTAGTTATTGGTTAAATCAGAATTTTTATTTAATAGTATATGGATCTTGCTGCAGCTGATTTTTTCTTTTTTCTTAAAGAATTCAACATAAGGAAGGCTAGAATATAGGTACTACTTTGGACATAAATGTAAACTTTCTAGGCACTTATTTTAAAATGCTACTGCAGACTTTGTTCCCTTACTATCCCATCTATTAAATAGAAATTACGGTCTGACTGCCTTCAGCTACTATCAATTATAATGGTTACAGATATACCCCTTAACAAGCTATCCATCATGTGCATAAATTAAAAGGCATATAATTCAGGTACTGCTGCAATACAGTTTAAGAGAGCTACTTCTAAATGTTATTTTTAGTCATGTTGTCCATTTAGTTTTATCCACATTTCGTTTATCTTTATATAGCTTGCTTTTATTTATTATATTTCATTCCCTTCTTTACCTTTACTATCTTAAGTGCATTTGCAAAAAAAATTTGTAGGGTTTTCCACTAGAGAATAACCCAATTTTAATATGAAATTGTTTATTTTAAAATATTTAGTTTAATTTTGACTATGCGTATTTCTTGTTCTCTCGTAGTTTATTGCTAAAATATTTAAAAGATATATGAATCTAGATTTCATAGGTTTAATTTTTAATATTACAAAAGGTCATGAATCAGTGACATGTCAGGTTTCTATAATATAAAATTCTAAGTAGGCTCAAATTTAATAAAATATATTTTAGATGTCCTGTGATTAGCCTAATTCATATTTTACTGTTTAACATTTATTGAGTGCTAAGAATATACTAGAAGCTACACAGAAACAAAGAAATCCCATTTTACCTAATTAGTTGTAATGAAACCCATAATGAGATCTTAAACTTTTCAATGACTTTTATTTTACTTTAATCAAATGCTTTTTATCTTAAAGCTATTATTATTAGGTTTGCTTTCACAAAAATGTGTGAAGATGTATACATTTTCTTCAAGCTCTATCTGTTTTTAATACACTTAATATATCTTTTGTTTAAAATTAAAAATTAGTGCCTTAGAGATGGCACATCTCTATACTGAAATATGAATAGATTTTAAGTGGATACGTACTCAATTTCCATATTGAAATTAAATATGGACTTAAGGGAATATTCCTTTTGCCCATAAAAAGATGGGTCACATGATCCTGGTTGACATTTAAGTGGATAATTATCACAGATTATAGTACTAAGTAAGCTCTTTTTTAAAAAGTCATATAGCAAGGGTTGCTGGGGTGCTGGCAATATTCTATTTTTTAACTTATATAGTGGTTATATTGGTTCATTAAACTGTACATATATATGTTTCATATACTCTTTGATATATGTATCTCATATACAAAAGTCTCAACATAGAATTCTCTAGGATCTTATATCCCATTATGTCATTTTTAATCATTACATTGCTTGTCCTAATATGTCATCTTATACATGTTTTAGAAATAAAGCCTGACTCTTATGAAGTGATTTAAGTTCCAAATGATCTCATAACTTCTATTAACAATTCTCAGTTTTTAAATATTGTACAAAACATAAGATGCAACTTAAATAAGCACTTTTATTTAAATAGAATTTTCAAGGGCATTTTAAGTGCAATTCACTTCCCATCACACTTAGGATATAATTCAAAACTTTATGACTTTTAAGGCCATACATCATCAAATACCTGACCACCTCGTCTATCTCCTTTTCTTCTACCCTTCCCACATTTACACTGTAACCACTCTTACTTTCTTGCTACTCATCAATCATGTTAAACCCCTTCCTTCCACAAGGTCATTGCACTTTCAGGTCTCTCAGCCTGTATTCCTTCTGTTATACTCTTCTTCTAGGTATTTATATGTACTTTCTGTATACATTTGAACTGTGTACTATGTGAACAGATGATTTATTATTAAATTTAAATACATTTGTACTTAGAAAGAAAAATCTGTTTCTCAGTCTTCCCTCTACTTAGACTCTACATGTGGGCCAAAAATAGGGTGAATGATTCCAGTTTGTACTTTTGAGAGATATATATTTATTTACTTATCATCATATATATTTCTCATTGTTATATACGTTTTTGTGTGTGTTATCATTATATTGCTGCCCTCCCCTACCCCTTAGCAAATTTCTCCAAACTATTATGCTTTTCAGTAAAGAGGAAGGATGCATCAGACTTATTATTTAATAATTAGAGTAGAAGGATAAACAATAAATATGCATAGTCAAAGAGAGTATTTGTGAATTAGACAATAGATCTGTAGAAATCACCCAGACTGCAGCAATGTAATAACACAGAGATAAAGAAATGGAGAATATGATAAAATGGTAAAAAGAAATGATGAATAGAATAAGAAGCTCCAACATACATCAAATAGGAGTTCCATAAGGAGGAAATAAGGAGAATGGGCTGAGGCAGTATTCTAAGATAAAAGGACTATCAATTTTTCATAATTTCAATTTCACAGTTAAGGAAAGATGAGAATTTCCAGGTTGGAATAGCATGCTTAGTCTGAGCAGGATGAATGAAAACAAATCCACACCTAGTCATATCATGGTAAAACTGCAAACTGTCAAAGACAAAGAGAAAATTTTAAAGGCCACCAGAGAAAAAGACATATAGCCCACAAGGGAATGACAGACTGATAGTAGACTATCAACAGACTCCAGCAGGAAGTGGAATAATACCAAATAAAAATCACAGCTGAATTTTTTTATTCAGGAAATGAAGATGAAATAAAGATTTTTTTCAGACAAAGTCTGACAGAATTTACCATTCACAGAGACTCCCTGAAGGGGCTACTAAAAAATGTACTTGGAGAAGTAAACTGAGCCTCAGGTAAAGGAATGGAATGCAAAGAACAATGGTGAAAAATAAATTAGCAGACATGTTGGTAAATTTAATATAAATCTAATTACAAAAATGTGACTACAAATTCTGCTCACTACAAAGCAAAAGACAATTTGAGAGGGTTAAAAACAAATAATAGACTGTAATAGCATGGAATACTGATGAGGGAGCAGGAAGAAGCTAAAGTGTTTTAAGATTCTTACAATTTTTAGGGAGCAGAAGAAAGAATATCTGTTAACTGACTTTAAAATTGTGTCTTTTTTATTTGCATGTAAAAATGGGGAAAATAATATCTACCTCAGGATTATTGTGACAATTAAAGTAATATACAAAAAGCACTCAGAGCATTGCCTGGCATGTAGTAAGTTTTCAATATGTATTTTAGCTGTTTTTATTAATATAATTAATATTAATAAAAAACAAAGCAAATATTAACTTTTAAAAAATTAATAGTTGTTATAAGAATATTAATATAGACCAAAATGGACTTTAAAGCAAAAAAACCTTATTGAAGATAAAGGAATCTATACATAGTAAGAGAAGGAGTCACTACTAGAAAAAGATTTCTGAAACTATGTGCATCTAAAACAAAAACAAAACATAATGAAATAGGACAGGATTACAAGGAGAGACTCACAAATCCCTAATTATAGTAAAATTTAAAGTACCTCCTTCAGAAACTGATGAAATAGATAAAAACTTAGGAAGGATATAAACAGTTTGGAACATAGCTAGCAAGTGTGATCTAATGAGCTGTGGTCAAACAAGTATAATACCCAACACATGATAAAGCATGACCTAGAACTTTTACAAAAAATATAACCAGTTTGGAGTCACAAAGAACTCTCAACATACTAAAATTGCTGTCACAGTCACTAACCAAAATTTTGTGCAATTAGGAATCAATAATAAAAAGGCAGCCCTCTAAAAATTTTAGCCCACCTATTTGGAAACCTAGAACCTTCTAAATAATTCATTGTTCAGAAAAATCATAATGGAAAGTATAAAATATTTAGAATTGAATGATAATAACAAAAAACTTACAGGAAAACTTTACACCTAAATACTGCTTTATACTAAAACAGTTCTTAGTAGAAATTTTATACTTTTAAATGCATATATTTAGAAAGGAAGAATGATTGAAAACTAATAAGCCAAGCATTCAACTCAGACGGATGGAAAAAGAATAGAACAAACCCCCAAAAATACAAGAAAGGAAATAGTAAAAGATATAAAGTATTAAATAGAAATAAAGTATTAAATAGAAAACAAGGCAATGATTAAAAAAAAAAAAGGAGGTTCTTTGAAAAGACTAATCAAATGGTAGACCTCTGTCAAGACTGATTTCTTTTTAAGTGGGAGAAGGAACAGACAATATGTATTTCAAAGGAGCTGATAAATTACTATCAGCTTAAATATATGATGAGCAGTTTGAGATATATGAGCCAAATGCTTCTTAATGTGGTCCACAATCTAATTTGGATGAAAGATTTTAAAACTTACCATTCTGCTTCTCAAATATTAATGTTTTAGTAGCTAAAAAGCAATTCCAATTTTCTCATTGATACCTTTCTCTTCAATAATATAGGTAATATTTTAAGAATATTAAATTTCTTCCATGGGACTCAATAAAGGTATTTTAAATTTTAAAAAAGGAACCATTAACATTGTTATTTTTCATGAATTAATCCTCTAAAGAGGTTCTTCACTCTCCACTCTTGTTTAATAATAATAATTTGGTTAATTAAAAGAATAACATGATTTTGGGGTACCTGAGTGGCACAGAAGGTTGGGTGTCAGACTTGGATCCTGACTCTGGCACTTACTAGCTTTAGGGCCTTGGATAAGTTATGTGGCCATTCTGTGCCTCTGTTTCCTCATCTGTAAAATGGGAATAAGAGTGACCAATGCAGAGTTTTGCAGATTAGTTTATATATGTAACATTTAAAAACAGTGCATGGCCCTAAAAATACTATTTAAGTGTTAGCCGTTATCATTAACATCATTGATTGTACTTCTAAACATCATGATCTGTTGAAAGTTATCTTCATTAGTCAGAGAAGGGGCTCCCTGAGCCTTACCGGAAAGTCCAAAATACAATTTTGAATGTAGCCCAGATTCAGTGATGGTACATTTTTCACCAGTGTTTTGTGAAACTGCCTTTAAAGGGAATCACATACACAACTGTTTGTTATATATAACCTAGCAAGAAACAGTCCATGTAGAATCTGCAGCTGTTTACTGTATGTTAATTGCTAATAGAATGAAATGAAATCAAGGAAGCAATTTTTTTTTTAAGATTTTATTTATTTATTTGACAGAGAGCACAAGCAGGGAGAGTGGCAGGCAGAGGGAGAGTCAGGCTCCAAGTGTTATTCTTAGAGATATTAAAACTCCTCCTATTTAACAATTGGAAAGTATATTAGAAATGTAAGTCCTTCTATGAGGAGATTGAGATTAATGCTATAGATTACATTTTATAGAATAAGATATCTGATCCCCTTCCAATAATAAAAATGTTTCAGCAGGCATTGAACACCTGGTGAAAATTCAAATAAAGCATTCTTTTACTATTTCTCACCTAACTTTATTGACTGATGGTGCTAAAATGTGAAAATTAATTATAAGTTAAAGGAACAAAGTAATTTTAATATTTAATTGTGGAGCTTTATTGAATGCAGACAGCAGAGCACAAAATTCAGGAAATTAGTATTAACCTTTAGGCAAAGATTTTCTGAATATAAGGTTTAATGTGTATCATGGGATTTCATATCCAGCTTGATTTTTTTAAGAGAGATGGATTTTAATAGACTTTTTCCTCAGAGTTCTCTAAAATCATAAATAAAATATTGTTACTGTTGGGGCACCTGGGTGGCTCAGTCGGCTAAACAACAGCCTTTGGCTCAGGTCATTATCTCAGGGTCCTGGGATTGAGCCCTTCATCAGGTTCCCTGCTCAGCGGGGGGCCTGCTTCTCCCTCTCCCTCTGCTGCTCCCCCTACTTGTGCTCTCTCACTCTCTGGCAAATAAATAAAAATAAAATCTTTTTTAAAAAAATGGTTACTCTTTTTCCCTTTAATCCTTTGTTAAATAAACTCTTACTATTTGGAATTTAAGGATAGAGTCAAGTCAAATAATGAAAAGTTAATAAAAAGAGATAACTAGTACTTTAGCAAGATCTCTAAATCACAAGTTTTTCTCTTTTTAGAATTAAAGACTATTTTGAGATAATTTAGTTATGATACTTTTTTTTTTTTGAGAGAAGCCACAAGATCCAAAGTAACAATGAGGGAAATTATTGTTAGTTTCTGAACCAACTTACTCAGTGAAATTATAAATATCAGAGAATAGAAAATATACTTTAAATAAACTTTTCCCCTAGTAATAGGAGCAAATAAGAGTAATGGAATAAAAATTAAGTGAAGAAAAACGTATAAACCAGCATTGGAAAGTCTGTTCCAGACAGTACATTAATATGTTAATAAATTATATTTGAAAATTTAAAGAAATTGCCTTCGTGTTATTTGTGTACTCGGTTTCATCTAAAAGTATCAGATCCTCCTTCAGTATTACATAGAGCTATACTTTCCAATACATGTAGATTACAGATCATTTGGATTGTGGCTCATCTGAACTGAGATGTGCTATAAGTGTAAAATACACACCAGATATCAAAGACAGTGTGAGAAAGAGAATATGAATGATCCCACTAATAATTTTATATTATCATATGTTAAAATTAGAGTATTTTGAGTATGTTGGGTTAAATTAAATAATAAAATTTATTTCACCTGTTTTTCCTTTGTGAAGAATAAGGACATTGAGTTAAATAATAGTTCCTGTGCCAGTTGTTGAACAAATGAAACAACATAAGAATACATAGTGTAAGGAAGTTGTCACCAATTTTACATTTAAAAAAATGATTTCTCTGGACTTTTTTTCATTTGTAGTAAAAAGTTTGGATTATTCATTCATTTGCTTGCTTATTCATTCAATAAACATTTATTGAAGGCCAGTGTATGTAAGACATTAAGAATTTATTATGTCCTCAAATACTTATTATACATCAAATATGTTTAAAGTATATGGGGTACTATACTATGAAGTACAGTAGAACCAACAACTAAATGGAGAGCTCATAAAACAATTATCTATTTGACCACTAATAAATGCAAACATCATATTCTACTAGAGCTATAAAATCAAATTTACCTTTCAACCCCACACACAGGATCTTTCCAAGAATTTGCTAAATCATTATGCATTTTTTCAATATGTATTTAAAGTCAGGCACATTTATCAAATTTATTTTACTGTGACATCACTAGAAACTCACTATTTTGTAGATATAAGTATCACCAACCTCTTGTTAACTTTGAGGCAAAAAATAGGGGTGAAATAATACAAACTGGAAACTTTAAGATAATATTGTTTATTAAAATATTTGATGAAAGTATCCTTTATCTAGTAAAGATTATTTTTTTTCTATATAAAGTCATGAATAAAACACTGGGATATTGGAAAATAAAAAAAAATAGCTATTGAAAAGTTATCCGTAATAGTGATTTTTTTTTCCATAGCAAATTCTAGGATACTTTTTCTTTTCCTACTTCCCTTTCATTAGTCTACCTTTTTATTTTCTATTTAAACTTTGTTGATCTAAATTCTATTTAAAATTTGACAATTTTCCCCTTAAGTTCTTCTTTTTACTGCTTGTATATAGGAAAAAGGAAAAAATTGAGTCACCTCAGTTTAACCGAAAGGAAGGAATCTACAACAAAAGACAATGATGAGTAAGTTTGTTGTTTTTGAAATAATAAACACATGTGTCTTAAAAGAATCATATTTCTTAAAGTAATAATTTAAGAGAAATAATCTATTTGCAAAAATTTTAAAAAATAGTTTATACCTGAGTTGAAGTATTCTTTTTTAAAGAAGTAAAATATTTTGTGATGTGTTTTGCAGTGTTCATGTGATCATGATATGTAATATCTTAATTTTTTTTAATATTTCTTTGAGAGAAAGCAAGAGTGCAAGTGGGGTGAGGGGAGAGGGAGAGGGAAAGAGAGAATCTCAAGCAAACCCCCCACTGAGTACAGAGTCCCATGCAGGGCTTGATCTCAGGACCCTGAGATCATGACCTGAGAGAAAATGAAGAGTCGGATACTCAACTGACTGAGCCACTCAAATGCCCCTGTGATATCTTAATTTTAATACTCATTGAGTGCAGTTTCCCAGCCCATGAATAAGAGGCCAGTTTAAGATAAAACTGAGGAAAATGCCCTTTTCAGATTTTATATGGATGGAAAAATAATCTGTTGTCTGGGAACATAATGCCTAACAAATACCTGGTTCAAGAGCTAGGAACACAGTGAAGCCAGCAGAGTAAGAGATCCAGAGGAACCCAGGAGGCTTTTATATGCCAGCACCCAACTATTTTCCTATTGGCCAGCCAATGCTGCCTTGAATTATTATTCAAGATATTATCTACAAAAATCTACTTCCCATATATATCCTGGAAAGAATAGTTTTATATCTATCCACCGAGGCTGGAAAATTGAATTAACCAGAACAGGGGGTTAAATTTTCAAAGTAATTCATACGTTCAGCTCATTTACCCTTTCAGCTATATTGTCTGTGTGCCACACAATATGATGGGTGGGTAAAGATGAAGAAAATGAAGTTTCTACCCATTGGGAGTTTATGGTCTTATGTTGTAGGTTAATATACCTTTCCAAACTCAGAAATAGGTTATAAGTTATGTTTCAAAATGTTTTTTTAAATCATTTGAGTGGAATTCAGAATGCATTTTCCATACGAATAGTGTTGTAACTTGTGGTTATAACCCCAGAAGTCTTTTTTTTTTCATAATGTAGCTGAACTATAGTCTTAATCAGTACTAGTCTAGATTAAAATATACAAAAATTGAATGCCATTTAGAGTACAACAGAGACAAAGGGAAGAGTTTCACAGAGAAATTTCTTTGTTTGGCATCTCCTACATCTATCATCATACCCCTTTATCTGCTTTTACTAGATGCTTTTCCTAGCCATGCTCCCCCAGCTCCAAATATTTTCATGTGCCCTGTCCCACAAATATTTTTGTTGTGAATTACTACTCCTTCCTTCCCCTAAGCAGCGTTCCCATTTCCTCAGTGAAACCAGTCTCAACTAGATATTAAGAGGAAAGCATTCTTGGGGTTCCTGGGTGGCTCAGTTGGTTAAGCATCCAACTCCTGGTTTCAGCTTAGGTCATGATCTCGGGGTTGTGAGACTGAGCCCTGCGTCGGGCTCCATTCAGCATGGAGTCTGCTTCAGACTCTCTCCCACCTCCTCTGCTTCTCCTCCCATTCATGCTCTCTCTCTCTCTAAAATGAATAAATAAAATCTTTCCCAAAAAAGGGAAAGCATTCTCTTTTTGTTTAACTTATTTAATGTATTTTAAAATTGTCAATATATACACACAGAAAAATAAATTGTACAAAAGGACATACAGTGAGAGCAAGGGGCAAGTAACAATTTTTGAAACATGTATAATCTTATAGTTGAAAGCAGATAACACCCAGGTGTTATATAAGACTGGGTGTTATATAAGACTGATGAATCACTGAACTCTTATCTCTGAAACTAATAATATACCGTATGTTAATTAATTGAATTTAAATTTTAAAAAATGAAAGTAGATACCTGCTAAACCAAATGAATTTCTGATATAATTATATGAAGTATAAAAAACTTAGGAATAAAAGTAGGCAGTGAAGGAGGAAATGTTTTTGGACAACAGTGATCAAGCCAAACTTATCCTTGCTTTCCGCCAAATCAGCTCCACTTAAGCTATTCTAACTTTTTATAGTTTCTTCCCTTCCTTATTCTTCTGAACCCATCGATTTGCTTACAGCTCCAGATTTTTAACAACAGCTCTCGTAGCAGTGAGCTTTAAAGTAGCAAGGGAACAAGAACCTTTGTTATGGTTCACTTAGGAATTTGCCTATATTTACTTAATTTCTCTCAATGTTTATTTCTAAAGATCCCTATTATTTATGTATATCACTCCATGACTTGATACTAGAATTAGTGAACTTAAGGACAAGCCAAGATATTTTGCAATAGGTAAAAATTATGGCTTGCTGATTGTTTTTTTCCACTCATTATAAACTTACTCAATCCTAGTCAATAAAGCCATTTTACTAGCTTTAGTAATGGGTTCTTCATTTGTTCCATTTGTTTAGATTTCTTTTATTATCTTGTAAAGCTGTTCTAAAGACTTGGTTTTTGAAAATCTGAAGTTAAATTGAACATTTCACATTTGTACATCAGTTTTAAATGATCATAGCATTTTTTTATTAAAGATTTTATTTATTTATTTGACAGAGAGATAGCGAGAGCAGGAACACAAGCAGGGGGAGTGGGAGAGGGAGAAGCAGGCTTCCCCCTGAGCAGGGAGCCTGATGCAGGGCTGGATCCCAGGACCCTGGGATCATGACCTGAGCCGAAGGCAGACGCTTAACGACTAAGCCACCCAGGTGCCCCGATCATAGCATTTTATATTTTGTTTTGGCAATTGTATAGGTTAGGGTTGTCCAGAGAAACAGAACCAATTGCAGATACATATATATGTAATAATATAATAATAATATAGTATTAATAAAATATAACATTTAATGATAATAAAATGGCATTGATATATTGTTATTAATAATTAAAATGTATTGGGGCACCTGGGTAGCTCAGTTGGTTAAGCATCCAACTCTTGATTTCAGCTCAGGTCATGATCTCAGGGTTCTGGGATAAAAAGCCCATTGGGCTCCATGCTCAGCAGGAAGACTACTGGAGATTCTCTCCCTCTGCCCCTCCCCCCATTTGCATGCACACACATGCTCCCTCTCTCTAAAATAAATAAATCTTTTTAAAAAAATAATTAAAATGTATTGATAATGAGTTATATGTATATAGTTGCATATATAGAGATAGATTGATTATGAAAAATTGGCTCATGCAATTAGAGAGGCTAAGTCCCACTATCTACCATCCACAAGCTTGAGACTCAAGAAAGCCAGTGGTGTAAATCAAATTCAAGTCCAAAGGCCTGACAACCAGGGGAGCTGATGGTGTAAATCCAAGTTCAAGAGCAGAAGAGCGATGTCCCAATTCAAACAGGCAAGCAGGATGAGTCGCTTGGGTGGCTCAGTGGGTTTAGGGTCTGACTCTTCATTTCAGCTCAGGTCATAGGGTCATGGGATCAAGCCCCATGCTGGCTGTGGAGCCTGTTTGAGATTCTTTCTCTCCCTCTCCTCCGGCCCCTCCCCTCCGGCCCCTCCCCTCCATGCTTGCTCTCTTGCTCTCTCTAAAAAATAAAAGAAATTTAAAAATAAAAATAAATTTAAAAAAATAAACAGGCAGGCAGGGAACCAATCCTCCTTTCCTCCACTTTTGTTCTATTCAGCCCCTCAATGAATTAAATGATGCCCACCTACAGTGGGAAGGTAGTCTACCCTACTAAGTTGGTTATACAATGGTGATTTTCTAACTCCATCATTCCTTCTATTAGCCGGCCTTTTTAAAATTCATGAGTTCATAGTGATAAAGGGTTTTGCCTTGCTTTCACCCTTTCTGTATTTGCACCCCTTCTCAGAGATACTACATCTTTGGCTGCTCATAGCAGCAGTATATTTTCACATTTGCTTAATCTTACCATGAACACAAAATAGTTTGAGAATTCCTGCACTTATAGCACTATTAAAAACAAGCTTGCAAAGCATTCAAGTTTTGTTTGCAAATCTTTTTTGTCTTTAACTTGACAGTATATAGTCAAATTACTATGTTCAAAACTACTTGGATTAGTTCTCTTTTGTTAATTTTTTCTATTTTAATTCAGGTATAGTTAACAGTGCTATATTAATTTCAGGTGTACAATATAGTGATTCAACAATTCTAAACATTACTCAGTATTCATCATGATAATTGTACACTTTAATCCCCATCACCTATTTCACCCATCCCCCCCTCCACGAAGCTCCCCTCTGGTAACCATCAGTTTGTTTTCTATAGTTAAAAATCTGTTTCCTGGGGACACTTGGGTGGCTCAGTCAGTTAAGCATCTGCCTTCAGCTCAGGTCATGATCACAGGGTTCTGGGATCGAGCCCCACATCGGGCTCCCTGCTCAGCGGGGAGCCTGCTTCTCCCTCTGCCTGCAGCTCCCCCTGCTTGTGCTTGCTCACGCTCTCTCCCTCTGACAAATAAAATTTTAAAAAATGTTAAAAAAAATTTTTTTAAATCTGCTTCTTGGTTTGTCTCTCTTTTTTCTTCTTTGCTTGTTTTATTTATTAAATTCCATATGTGAGTGAAATCATATAGTATTTAACTTTCTCTGACTTCTATTGCTCATTAGCATTATACTCCCTACCTAGTTCCATCCATGCTGTTGCAAATGGCAAGATTTCATTCTTTTTTATGGCTGAATAATATTCCAGTGTGTGTGTGTGTGTGTGTGTGTGTGTGTGTGTGTGTATGTATATATACACCACCTCTTCTTTACCCAATTCATCAATTGATGGACACTTGGGCTGCTTCCATAATTTGGCTATTGTAAATAGTGCTGCCATAAACAGAGGTGCATGTATCTCTTTGAATTAGTGTTTTTGTATTTTGGGCTTAAATATCCAGTGGTGCGATTACTGGATAGTCGGGTAGTTCTATTTTTAACTTTCTGAGGAGCCTCCATGCTGTTTTCTACAGTGGCTGCCCCAGTTTGTATTCCCATCAACAGTGTAAGAGGTTCCTTTTTCTCCACATT